TATATATATATATATATATATATATATGTCCACCTCAGTCTACTCGGAATCCTTGAGAGGAGGCAACCCATGACTGCTAATCAGATTCATTGGACACTATGATCAATGATCGCTAGTGTTGGTAGACTGAATCATACAGTATTCCGGGATGACAGAATCATGAGATCTTGATCGGGCCTACCTTCATCCCCCACAATCAGGGCTTAGAACATTCACACACATATCTACACTTTATGCATATAACCAAATATATTTCATCCTTAATCGAGAGTGCTCTTCTACGCATTAGAAGGGGTAATTAACTATGAGAGCTTGCACTTATAGGAAGTAGGACCCAGATCTAAATAAACTTGACACTGTTCTCAGGGGAAATCTGGTTTAATTTAAAATTCAATCTACCTCGAAAAAATAAGGACCTTAAGCTTGTGAGAGCGAGGTTCGCGACTATTCTTCATTGGCGAACACAAACTAATTCAATTCATTCAAATTTTTATATTCCCATTGAACACTATTTATGATCAAGAGATAAAATTTTGTTTTTCTTCTTCTTTCAATTCTATGCTGATCTTCTAATTATAAGAAGTATGAGATATCCTTCTTGATCCGTCCATTTTCCCTCTTTCTTTGAAAACTAGGAATGACCTTTTGAGTTTGAATTTGCTTTTTCTGAAATTGGTTTCTTCTGTCATTTACCTTTATATTTCTTTTTTTTACTTAATTCATTTTTGTTTATTTTTCTTTTCATTTCCTTTCCTTTTTTTATTTATTCCCATTCATCATTCTTGAAGTCTCATAGGCATGTTGATCCTATAGAATTTGACCTGTTTTTTCATTGGGCGAGGGGTATAAAAGAAGTCAGATTTCTTTTTTGATCAAAATTACTATGTGAATTCTTCAGGTTTTTATCTTTCAATACTCATATATCCCATAGGCAAGCATTTGAATAAATATAGAACCTTTTCTTCTATGTGAATCATTGTTCTTGCACTCCAATTTTCCTGACACGTCTTAAGGAAAATCTCATATTATGTCCAAAATGGATGGGCTAGTGTCAACTTTTTTCTCCTCAAGATTATGCTCTCTTAAAATAGGAATCCATTCTGAAAGTTTCTATGGGAGTGCAAAAGATCAAAATCAACAAAGAAATCTTCAAAAATCACTATTGGAACACAAACTTGCATTATTTTAATGTGGTTTGGTATTGAAATTTATGCCTACCATCTAAAAGGAAAATAATTCATCATCTAAGTAGAATAATGGAGTTCAAGTAAATAATTATCTTGAAGTGAAAGAAAGTTGAAGTTGCCTTTGAAAAAAAATCTCTAACTTGTCCTCAGTGTTTATCCTTTATAAGATATTGAAGGTGTTATACTAGCAATGGATGGCCATTGCAAGAAAAACCGTTGCATTCCTTCATGGATTATCAGTAATTTTAGGTTGGGAATGGATGCATCTTGATGTTAAACAACTATGCCTTTATGTCATGTCTAGGAAGTTATCCATTATAAATAAATTTATGACAAATCATATCAATTTATGGTATTTGTCTAACAATGTGCACAAAAAAAAAAAAAAAAAAATTCAATCAAGATGGTTGGTCAAACCGATTCTTTGACTGGATTTGCTTGAATGGAATTCTTAATTATGTTAGTCTTTTATGCCTTGGTTTGATAGAAACTTTAATTTTTGCACCCAATATAGAACATATTACATTAATAGTTGGGGAAGCAACTTCATTAGTTTCTTCTTATTTCAAAGTATGTTATCTTGAAATCAGATTTGAAATGATCATTTGCTCCTCCATCCTTATCATTCTTCTACTTTGAACCCTTTTTGTTATTCCTTTGTTATTCCATTTGGCACTATTTTGTTAAAAATGAAGGTCAGGAATATTGTGTCATTACATGATGCCTTTCTTCAAAAGAGATGAATGATTGAGACATCATCACAGGAATATGCTTTTACAATATTGGAGACTAATGTTTCCATGAATGTCCTTGAGACTGCGATGGCAGAGGCTTAGATTACTACCCTACATATGTTATTCATGATTCCGTTATTGTCCTTTTTTACAGCAGAAAAGTTCGAGACAACAACCATTTCACGAACAATTTCACCGTTGAGAATATCCCTGAGAATGATGTTGATCATTTTACGTAGTAAAATTCACTTTATTATTTCAGATAGCCAGCTGAGATTGCTATTTGTGACTGTTGTTTTAGAGATTCTTGAAATGCTATTGGTTGTAGAAGTAATGAACTTAATTGAAGAATTGCCCATTGCACACATATTAATATTATACCAACAAAACAAGAAAAATAATGTCCTTTTGGCAAAAAAATCTATTTAAAGACCATAAATTTAATTCCATATCTTTTATCGCATTGTTGGCTAACACTAATGAGATTGTGCTTTAGCCCATTAGCTGACATGACCATTTCAACATCAGCGGTGTCTTTATCAATTGTAATGGCTCTAGTGGTTTTTTTCTTTCTGTTGTTGCTTAAAAAGCATAACCATCGTTCCTGGGCTCCAATGAAGCAAATTTTGTATGGTTTTTTATCATCTGGCCTTGAACATCCGCTGGTAAAGTACCATCCATTAATTTGAGAACCCGATTATTGTTGGGTCCATGTATGTTAAAAAGGAGGATGAATAGTTTATAAAGCTGATGATCTCGATACCTGTGCATATGCATGTTTTGATATCCATGCAAATTAAGGTGATTTATGAGTATTTCTATCTCCATGGTTTCTTAACATTTGACCCCTAAACTACCACATGATATGCATTTCACCCTAGCAAGTACATACGAGCAATGCTTGATTTGGTGATTGTTTACCATTGACAAATCCAAGATTGGGCCCACCTCACGTAGTTTATTCTCAAATGACGCGGCGGTTCGCTCACTTATTTCCTCTCATGATAATAAAACTCTCCATAAACTGCTCTCCCTCACATTTGACACACCAAGAGGCAATAAACAAAATGCTTGGCTCTCTTATTTTTCCTCAATCACATGCTAAACCCCTCTCTCCTTCTCGTCTCCCTCATCTACTATCATGACATCCGACCCGACCACCCTATTCGCACGCAGGGATTCCAGCCGCGATTCCGTCCTGCACATCGATCCGATCCAATCCGTCTCCAACCTGCATCCTGCCCGTCTGTGCTCGCTCCCACACACGCCCAACGCGCACGTCTAGCGCTCTCATCCCATGCTTGTACACCCTCCGACCCGAGCCCAACTCCACTCGTGCCCACGCGTGACATTAATATACAAGAATAGTGTTCAAAGTTTACTCATACATGAGCAATGAACAAATGTAAAATACATTGGGCAAATGTAAAATACATTGGGCAAATGTAATGAGAATGAAAAATATATTATACCAATGTAATATAAGTGCAAAATAGACTAAAAATGTTTCGCATATGCTCCGATCTTTATGTTAATCTCCTGAATGCAAGATTTGAGAATGTTTTGCAGATTTATTAAAAGTGCTCAAACCACTTCTATGATGATTGTGTTTATAGAAAATCTCAACCGGAGAGGACCCTGCATTTCAAATATTTATGAACCCTAATAAAAATACAGATATTTAAAATGACTTCGACGTCACTCTGATGATGGTCATGTTGAAAGCTAATCTCAACTAGAGGGGATTATGCTTTTTAAATGCCTCCAAAATTTTAATAAATATAAATATTTGCAATAATTTTAATGTCACCCCGATGAGGACAGTGTTGATAGAAAATCTCAATCGGAGGGGACCCTACCTTTCAAAATACTCAAACCCCAATGCAAAATATAAATCTTTTAAAGTGATTGCAAAATCATCTCGATGATGGCGTGTTGAAACGTGCCCTATGACCGGGTGATTTTGCTACAAAATGACACCACTATATTAGGATCACAATCAAAAGCCC